CTCTCTCTCTCTCTCTCTCTCTCTCTCTCTCTCTCTCTCTCTCGCTGTGTGTGTGTGTGTGTGTGTGTGTGTGTGTGTGTGTGTGTGTGTGTCCTATGCTACAGACCTTAGTTCATACCCCGCATGAAGCACATGAATCAGATGAGTACACTGCATACTCCAATTCTGAATTACCAGGGGCAGGTCAGTTCACATGATGATATCTCAAGACCCCTCAAAAAAACATCCTGTCCAAAGGGACATCAATTAAAATTGGAACGATGGAACGGCAACGGAAAAAAAGAAAGGGAAAAATGGCCATGTATCTTGGGCCTCCCTCCACTTTAAGCGTGAAAAGTATGGCAGTGTACCTTTTCGTGCTCTACTAGAAGATTCCTCTCATTGCCCCTCCGTGGATAAGGCGGGGTTCCACTTTTTCTTTAATTTCTGCTACTATGCCTTCGTCAAACCAAGCATCTGAAAAAGACTTCTGCAAGAGTTCTATTTTTCTTTTGTCCTCCTTGCTATGCCGTGCCGCTACTCTGGGCAAGTTTGAACTGAGGCCCCTTAGGATCACTTCTGAGAACTGTTAGTATTCCAATACTGTCCCTCCTGTCTCAGACCTCTCGCAGTACCTGCCAGTCACATTCCCCTAGCCACGTCACTTCCTTACCCTGGTCCCCTATTCAGTCACTCTGTGGTTTATATGCTGCCCGGTGCAGCTGCTGCTGATGTTGTAGCTTTCATCACCCCCTTGCCAGGTATAGACTTTCTGTGTTCTCCCCGCTGTGTGTTATGCTCAGAAAGCTGTCCGTATCATGTTCTGCTGTGTGCCACACGCTGAAGATGATGGCTCCCTTGCGGATTCGTGTGATTCTCCCTTCGGCTAAGAAACTAGTTTGGAATTCCCTTTGGATGTCCTGTGCCTTGTCAGGTCTCTTTTCTGTCCCCCTTCTTGTTTTCTCTCCAACGGCCTGTTAGTTCTGTTTCTACCTGGGTCTGCATTACAGCCCAAGCTTCATTTGCGGGCATTCTGGCTGTGTCTTTTTTTTTTTTTTTTTTTTTTTAACAAGTCCTTATGGACCTAGCTCCTTNTTTTTTTTTTTTTTTCTTTAACAAGTCCTTATGGACCTAGCTCCTTCTATTCTGGGGAGCGTAAGTCCGGTTCCTATTCCACCGGCAAGTCACAGCATAATACATTACAGAATAAAAACACACGCTTCCTCCCGTTCGGCCGGAGGACCCCTGAACAGCATTGATTACTCCGCCCTTGGTGGAGGATTGACTGTCAGCTTGCCTTGAGTCTCTCTTCCCTCTCAGATCTGCCCTAA